CGCGCGGCGCTGCCTGCCGTTGTGTGGCGCGCCGCACGTCGCGCGCGCGGCTGCTCCCGCTCCCCCGGCGCGTCCCGCCGCCCTGCCCCGCGCGCGCCCAAACGGCCGCAACGGGAAAAACGGCCGCCGCGCGCGTGAGTGTGGAAACGTGCGTGAGCGCGGAGCGGCGCTGCACGTGACCCGGGGGGGCGTGCGGGCGKGCGCGCGCGGCCGTGGCTGCCTCTCGCAACGAAGTCGGTGCGAGCAGGTTTCTTTCCYCCTTTTGTTTTCTAACGTTTGAGGAGATAATTGCGTGTTGCTGACTTAGCTTCTTGGGGATCGACCATGGGCTGCGCTTCCGAAGTGCGCGAGTGTTCGGCTCTAATGATTGGAACCAGCATCTTCTGGAGCTGTTATGCGCATTATTATTATTGTTTATTTTTTCCTCCTTTATAAAGGACTCTGTCTTCGGGGAACTGGAGTTTCATTCATATAAACAGGCTTCTTACCTGAATCCTACTTCTCTTCAGTCCCCTCATGTGAATTCCATTTTTTTTTCCTGGAGGAGGGATTTAAAGAAGGACACAAATAAGAATACACCTTTCTTCGTTATTTAAAACCTAATTTTTTTTCTTCACTTGTAATGACAGGCTTATTTTCCTCCATTGAAGAAACGCTTATCTGTAAATACACTACCTAACTGTCTAGTTTCTCCTTTAAAAATGCATTTCTGTGTGTGAGAAAATTCCTATCAATTATTTAAAGTCACGCTGTTTCCCTAGTTGTGCCCATCTGCTCAGTTTCTTCTATTTTTTCCTTATTGTCTGTCTGTCTCCTGTAGAAATGTAATTTTTTAGATATATGTGTGTGTTTGTGTCTAATATGGATGTTTCTCTCTCTCTCTCCTCAGGTGTTGGTGATTTCAGCCTCATTTAGGGGATTAGTTCCCAGGAAGTAGGGGCACGAGGGGCTTGCTGGATTTGCTCTGTTTTCACCCTGCGAAGTACAGCTTTAACCTAATATAGTTTTTGCCTCTTTCCCATTCCTCCACTCCTGTAGGAGAGGACGAATTGAGAGTTACATTAGCACTCACCTACTCCCCCTTTTCTCTTTTCCACCCCCAGAAATCTCCCTTGGCCCCTGAGACATTAGCTAGACGTTGCCCGTGTAGTAGTAGGAGGACGTTGTCCTCATCACCCCCTGCTTGCTTTGGGCGCTGCAGCAGTGCCTTTCCATCCTTTGGATTGCAGAGCAGGGAGGTGTCCAGAAGACTTCAGTGCCACCCGCTTTGGGTAGTAGGGGATCTGGGGAAAGGGGAACAGACCAGGACACGCGACCTTGCGGAGGGAGCCGGAATYGAGGCAGCACTGACTTGGCACCCTAAAAGAGGCATCCGCCTGTGGCATCTTTTTGTTTTGCAGCCCTTCACCAAATTTCTGGTAAGTCACATTGGTCCATTCATTCAGGGCTTGTTTCCCTTCCCCCATGCCAGGCGCAGGCTCGGAGACTGGGAGTGCGGTGGGGGAAGGGAGGAGGCAAAACTGTGCACGCAGGGATAGGCGAGAGAGGGGTGTATTAAACCCCACTGCAGAGGAACCTGGCCAGGGCAGGGACAGCCTCTCCTCGGGAAAGCGCTGGATGAGGGAAGAAACGTTTTTAGTTTGCCCAGCCRCGAACACGGGTGGAAAACATGAGAGCCTATTGTGGGGAAAAATTCCTGAGATCAAAGTAGGAGAGTGGCTTTTAACCAGTATCAGCCTTGTGTTGCCGAGAGGGAAGAGGATGGATTATTCACTGCAGATCAGGAACTGGAGGGGTGTGAATGAGGAATATTATCACCTACTTGCAAGCATGAAAATAGATGAATGAGGACTCTGGGTGTGGATGCCTGTCTTGATAGGCAATTGTGCGAGCAGGATTGCTACTAGTATCTTCAGCATTACTCACTGGAAGGGTGGGAGAGAGCAGGTGAAAGCCATAGGAGGGAATGCAGTTGCCCATCTGTGGGAGTGTCTGTGTGTGTGGGAATTGTACTGGAAAAGGAAGAATTGTAGCAATTTTCTGCTTTACTATTATGCACACTTATACGTAATATATTCCCTTATCCTTTGACTGTTGCAGTCTCTACAGATCTCACAGGGAGAGGGAAGGGGTTGGATACCATGCCAGGTTTTAAAAGAGGCGTGCTTGGGAGTCACCTGCCTGCAGTGACTTTCTGTAGTGCATGTACAGAGAGCAGATGATACGCAGCAGTGCTGGTCAGATTGTGCTGCTGCTGAATATGCTGTGTAAAATGCATTTAAAGATATATTTATTTATTGTTCTTTTTTTTTTATTGAGGTTCTTTGTTATGTGGCAGTTTTATGAAAAACGCAATTTAAAATTTTACCTTCTGTTACATTTTTTTTTCTTGAGGTTGACTGTAAGCATAAACATGGAGTGGCAGTGTCAGCATTAATACTGATTTGTTGATTTTTTAAATTTTTTTTTAGAACAATTTTAATAAGAGGTTCAAGATGTCTTTTTTTGTCTTTTTTTTTGTTATCTCTGCATATCTCGCCCATAATCTACAGAAATTTCTTTAAGATTTTGTTTAGATGATCATTGTTCTGATATCTGTATGGGGAACACAGCACTAATTTTTTTTTTTTTGCACTAAGAACAGCTGTGAACTTTTCAGATCTGCTGTCCCTATGACACAGAGAAGTTTTATTTTTGGGATGTTTCTACCACTACTCTTTTCTCCTCCCTAAAGTGAWGCTGAGACCTTCATTCCTTCACAACGTATGATGGTTTATATGCTGGACAGCACTTTAACTGTATAAGCAATCTAATACATACTGTAGCCATTGCAAATCAAATCTGCCTTGAACTGTCWTCTCTATTGTAATTTATGAGCATGTTACGATTATTCTTAGATCCTCAGTGTCTTAAGGTGTGGCCTCTAAAACAGTATTCTAGAAATTGCTGTAATAGTAGAGACAATTGGTTGACTGGGGTTACATACTCAGTTTTAAAGCCTTGGTTAATTTATGTTAAAAAGAAATGTAAAACACCTTTTCCCAACCCAAATAACTGTGTATTTGTTACTGTGTAAAAACTCAACCCAAATAACTGTGTATTGAGTGCAATTTTATTCATACTAAGGTAGTGTTTGGAGGTATGTTTTTTCCTAATTCTCCATTTCCCACGGCAATCATTGCTGCTACCCTTATAGCTCCTGTGAGATTTTTATGATCATTACCGGAGCTGTAGGGATTAAACATTCCTAGAGGAATGCTAAACCTAACATTAGGTTTTACYTCTCTACTAATTGCTAGCATCCCAGGAGCTAAGTTAGCTGCACACTGCTGTAACTGAGTCTGAGTCAAGGACTGAAAAACTATAGTGATTCTGGGAGGGACTCGGATATAATTGTTTCAATAACTCATTTCTCAGGTCTCGCTTCAGTCAATAATAGGCTGCAATATCAGGTCGCAAGTCAAACAGTTGAGATGGCTGCACCACGTTGTTTCCTAATGCTGCCAAACTTCCAGTAATTTATCGGTCCCATAGGGAAGAAACTGACTAGTCTTTTTTATATAGAATTTCTTTGGGCAATTGTGTTTTCAGTGGAAAGGATATAGAACCATCTTTTTATGATAGCTTAGAAGAAAATATATTAGGATAAAAAAGAGACTAATCAAATTTTCTCTCTGCTGTTGGGTGTTGTAGACAGGACAAGAAATAAATGGACGTGGACAATGGAAACCAGTCTCCCCTTCTTGGAGTCAGGTCTCCAAAACTCTCTCTGTAGTGGTTAGAAGGCCTTGCTTGAAGTCTGTGGTCTTCAGATTTCAAGTTCTGTCTRCCCAGCTTATCTGATTGTTTGGATTCCCTCTTATATCCATAAACATCTTCCTGCATGAACTGAGTTATGACAGTAGCGCAGTGAATACTTCTTTGAGAACATCTGCAAGAGGTGTATTACAGCTTCAAGGCATGAAGGAATGAAATACAAATGTGTATGATGTAGAGGAGGAAGCTGCTGTGTGAATACTGAAGTGAAACCCATCTCGGTGCAGAGCTGCTGCAGTTTAAAGTTGAGGATTTCATTCTCTTTATAAATTTGCTGAGATTTTTTTCCACAGAGCATCTTTCTGAAGCAGATGTAGCAGTGATTGCTTGGCTGGTCTGGCACAGTTTTCAACAGATTCAACCATTATAACAGAGCTTTTGCTTTGACTCCACCCTTTTACAGTTCTTGTTCTGTTTTGTGCAGTTATTATTTTGTTTTTGATTTCATAAATGTCTTTTTTAAAAAATATTGTTTAAATATTGAATTGTTTGTGGTAGCTTTGAGTAAAAACTTGATGTTAACTAATTTCATTTTGAAGACATGTAATTATCTCTTGCTCTTTTCCTGCYCTTTTCCTTCCTTTATACAGAGACGCTTATTACAAGTGATAGATACTCACATTGACTGGAAAGTATTTCATACATATCCAGCATTGTCTTGGACTATGTCTTAGGCTGGAGAGTTGGGCAGAGAGGAACCTCATGAGGTTCAACAAGGACAAGTGCAGGGTCCTGCACCTGGGGAGGAATAAGCCCAGGCACCAGGACAGATTAGGGGTTGACCTGCTGGAGAGCAGCTCCATGGAGAGACATTTTGGAGTCCTGGTTGACACCAAGTTACCCATGAGCCATCAGTGTGCCCTCGTGGCCAAGAAGGCCAGTGGGATCCTGGCTGCATCAGGAGGAGTGTTACCAGCAGGTCAAGGGAGGGGATCCTGCCCCTCTACTCAGCTCTGGTGAGGCCGCACCTGGAGTATTGGGGGCAGTTCTGGGCTCCCCAGGACAAGAGGGATGTGGAACTACTGGAGAGGGTCCAGCAGAGAGTGACAAAGATGATTAAGGGACTGAAGCATCTCTCGTATGAGGAGAGACTGAGTGAGCAGGACCTACTTAGCCTGGACAAGAGAAGGTTCAGAAGTGATCTGATCAATATTTATAAATACCTGAAGGTATTATACCTGAATGTAGGGAGGCAGGGGCCAAACTCTTCTCAGTGGTGACCAATGATAGGAGAAGGGACAATGGGTAYGAGTTGAAACACAGGCAGTTCCATCTCCATGTGAGGAGGAACTTCTTTCCTGTTAGGGTGCCAGAGCCCTGGCACAGGCTGCCCAGGGAGGCTGTGGAGTCTCCTCCTCTGGAGATCTTCCAAACCCGCTTGGATGCCGCCCTGTGCCCCGTGCTCTGGGTGTCCCTGCTGGAGCAGGGTRTTGGACTAAATGATCTCTAGAGGTCCCTTCCAACCTCAGCCATTCTGTGATTTTTTTTTTTAATCCCTTCTAGATTGCAAGGGTTAGATTTGGTTTTCAGGGAAAAGTTCTGGAAATCATATCCAATGATCTTAATGCGCTTGTGCATCTGACTGCTAGTCAGGCTGTTCTCCTATAGACTCTCTTCTTGACAGTGTGGGAAGGATTATTACGATTTTGTGTTTAACAGGTAAATTTTAGATTTTGTTCAATGAGATTCCTTACACAATCAAAACACATATTATAGGGAGAGGCTGAAACTTGACAGAATGTTGGCGATTGGAGTAGGGGGAATACTTCTGCTTAAAAGAATGAGTAATGGGTATCAGATCAAGAGACTGCTAGTTAGGATTACTAGTTTCTACTTCTATTTCTGACATTGGCTTATGCCATGATCTGAAGTGAATTTATYTTTGTGTCTAGACTTGAGGATGGAATGGCTTCCAGTTGTCTTGGAAGTCTTAGGTAAAAATAAGAAAGCTCTGTTTACGATATTTTTACACGTTCAGTTTTCTATAGCTCTGTTTGGTGTGTGATGGACTAACCTTAGTTTTAGGGAGAACCTGTTTTTCAAGGAATGGACAGTAGGTGGGGCTGGTTGGTCTCCCTGATGATCTGGGCAAGTAGCAGAAATGTGGGTGAAGTGACAAGAGGCCTTCTGAGCTGTGCTGTGGCAGTGCCCTTCCTGAACAGGATAGTCTGTCACAATTGCCAGCAAGTTTTCTGTAAGCCGTCATCTACAGAAATCCCTTGTTCTCAATATGAGGAGTAAAAATGGCCATTTAAAATTTTATCTTGTTGATACTTAATAAAAAAACTTTATTGGTAGCAGAAGCTTTATTTTTAATTACAAAAATACGCAGTTTGTTCTTCTGGTTGCAGCAGAATAATACTTTTGCCCCAGTGCTTACCATGGAAATCTTAAACCAGACCAAACAGAAAAACTTAGAAAAATTCTTCCAAATGTGAAAGAAGTTGTTACAGATCTGTGGTCTAACTTGCACATAGCTTTTCTCATGACACCATCTCCAGTCATTAGGAGTGTCGGACAAAACTCCGTTCTGTTTGAACCTCATGCAAATCCTATTTGTGAAAATAATGATTTCTACCTGTAAATTTTAGGCTCTTAACATGAGTGGCAAACAGCTCGGTTTTTCTCTTTCCCTATACTGGAAAGGTGGAAGGTAAGGAAGCGGGCTAATTCTGTCTTAATTCTGTCTTAAAAATCCTTTCAGGAAAAATGGTTTTTAATATTTTTTATTTTAATGTCCCCCTCCCGCATCCCTTCTTCTGAYCTGCTTTTTTGACATGAAGGTTTTGTCACACTCTGTCTTTGGAAAAAAGAAGGACATCATGTGTGTCAGGTGTTTTAGCAGTATGTAGTATGTCYGAGCTCTCTTGAAATGCAAGGAAGTATCCCTGTTCTGAAGCTAAAATTGTGGACTTTAGAAATTCACATGAAGTTTTTTTYYTTTTTTTTTTTTCAGCATGCTCCCTAATATGGACTAAAAGGGGATGCTATTATCCATATCAATAGTCTTATCCAGTAAGGATGATATAAGGATCAAAATCTGTTTCTGAAGTTCATAGATGGCTACTGATTGTAAATGAATTTGTTCTTGTTGTTAGTTCTGCTATAGGTGGGCACTTGGAGATTTTAGGTTATACCCTCTTGGAAAGGGCAGACCTGTGTAAAGAGAGTAGGATAAAGGCAGAAGGACTCAGGACGGTGGGGAATATAAAGATAGGAGCTTTTCCACTCTTAACAGTTTTCCTCCTCTTCATCATCTAGAAGTTCCACTGAAAGGAAACGTTGAAGATTGCAAGACAAGTCCAAGATGTGCAGTTCAGTTGCTCCCAGGCTGTGGTTCTTAACAGACCGTCGCATCAGAGAAGATTACCCTCAGCAGGAGATCCTGAGAGCACTGAAAGCCAAATGCTGTGAAGAGGAACTGGATTTTCGGGCCTTGCTGATGGATGAAGTGGTGCTGACCATTGAGGATGGAAATCTTGGTGAGGATCAGCTGAGGTTGGGAATTAGCTGTAAGAGTGCTTGTAAAAAGATCATGAAATGGAGCCTCTGTACTGTTTAATAATGAATTCATGTGTGACAGGCAGCCATATCTAATCCAAATCACACAGGCGTACATGATAGCATGTACTCCAGCATTCACTGTGATCATAAAATGCAATTGTTAACTAGGCCAGTAGAATAGAGAGGCGAGTTGCTTTGGTTTCTGAATTTCAGGGTAAGGACTACACATGATCTCTGAGTTAAGAAATTTCTTACTTTCATTTTTGCATAGATTTGAGTTTATGGATCATAGTTAGGAATTTTAGTAGGACTTTTTTTTTCAGTTGTGTTATGACCCCAAATAACAAACATGTTTGAAATAAGCTAAAAAGAATTTTCAGTAGAGAGTACCAGTTGTCAGGGAGCTAGAGATAACAAGTGACATTACACATATGTATAGAAGCATGCTTTAGTTCAGTGCGTGCTAAAACGAGAGAAATTACTACAAACTATTGAGCTCTAAACAAAATGATAATGCTTTATTCTGTTTTTTGTTAGCTCTTTTCTCTATRAAAAAACAAGAAATGAAGCTTAGAAATGAAAAACAAGACATTAAGATGTGTTAGAAGTAGAGTGAAATAATGCAGACACTGTACTTGTTATAGGAAGAATATTAAGACCACTGATGTTGTGTAGCATTTGCTGTTATATCTTTTCAACTTCTTATTTGGATTCCTTAAAGAAAGGAGGCAGTTGTGTTTTGTGCTTGTCTCTTTGCTACACYTCTCTTTCCCCCATATCACTCCTTCTCCCACCCCCCGCACCTTCCTCCCCCCCAAAAAAATCTCTGGATATCTTGAAAAGAATGAAGTGCCTGCAAGCTGTGTTAGAGCAAACCTGTATGAGAAGAGAATATACAAGTATCCTCAGCTCTGAAGGAGAGGTTGCCACATGAGCTTATACCTTGTTCTGTACTGGGAAAGCCATGCAGGAAGAGTATCTTCAACTGTCTGTATTTTGTGGAGGAACTTTGGTCAACATTTGTACATTTTTACAACATTGTCTTTAATTCTGAAGTGTCTCTGATTTTTATCAGAGACTTAAAACTCTTCAGAAGGATGTTATTTAATTGGGGGAAATGTCAAAAACTCTGAACACTTTTTTGTATCCTATGTTGTCTGGTGAACAATGAGTTCTGCTAAGGCAACCATCCAGAACCATCTACAACCTGCACAATGCGTAATTGATCCTTTAGCATTTCAGTATTTTACTTCAACCTTTATTTCTTGGTGATGTTTTGTTTTTCCTGTCCCCTCCTTGCTGTTTATATTTGGGGAATTAAAAGTGACAAGAATGATTTGTGGGCTTTAGACACGCAATTTCTGCTCTCTTCTGTTTATTGTTTCCCAGCACTCCATCTGGTACAAGCAGAAAAGCAAAGATAAAATATTATTTGACTCAGAATATTCATTTTGAGAGATATGGTATGGCAGTACAAGAATGGATAAAATTTAAGAAMTTGACTGGGAGAACAGAAAAAAAATCATTAAGTCTGGACTGGCTCTTTGTGGGGTGTTTGGGTTTTTCTTTCTCCTTTCCTGTATTGGACAAAATTCTTTCTCTTGGAAAGACATAAGGAATCTTTCCTCTCTTGGTTTTCTTTTTTCTTGTGTTTGTACCCATGTATTGATTTAGACTTCTGTAACGGGCACAGGCAAAATCTTTATCCATGCTTTTTCCTCATTAAAATACTCTGTCTAGAAAAAGGTGTCCTGGGACAAAAATCGTGAGGAAAAACATTCTCTACTTCTACTGTTAGCTGCTGTTGTGGGAGAATTTCAGAATAAGTCAAATTTTGTACAACAGAGGAGTTAGTGAAGAGAATGTGTCCCAGTTACGTGGCTGCCTATGTGATCCGCAGTGTGTGATGCTTGCAGTGCAGTGCACTCTTCAGTACATGTACACGGTTATGATAAGAGCACGTTGATGTCAGTATCCCTGAAGCCTTGAGACAGGGAGGCATGGGCAATTTCTGTCACTTAGGTAAATACAGAGTTGAAAGAGTCTAAGAATTACATGATTTATTGTGTACCTGTGATGGCCAAAGGGAGAGGGAATGATAAGCTTATTTCAGGAAGGAATCAGTACTAGTGTCTCCTTAATGTCTTACTGCTACAGCACAGGGTTGGATTGGAAATGTAGCTTGATCCCCAGGCAAGCCAACAGTGTATCCTCAGGGAGGACTTGCCAGTCTGTTTTCTCCCAGAGCTGAACGTTTGGATTATTCAGCATCCTTCGCACCTGCACAGCTCCAGTGTCGCTGGTCACATGCTGATYTGTCAGCAGAACTGCTCTGATCTGCTGAAGAACTGTATTTACCTTAGACTGTGTTCAGCTTAAAAAACACAAGTTAGTTGCTTCAACAGAGCATGATTCCAGAAGGAGTTGTAAATGCAAGTTATAAAAAGCATTAAATAAATTAAAGGTTTTTCCCTTAAATTTAGAAAGAAAAATGTCTGATTTTACTTTTAAGCTCTTTTGAGAATAGTCTTAGACTGTGACTTATCCAGTAACTGCTGCTTCATGTCTGCTCTTCCAGACCGTGCATTCTTGCCTCCCCCTCTCTACACAGAGACCAGTACTCTACAGATCTCTGGGGCAGAAGCTGGATTGAATTCAGCAGAAAACTGCTGCTGAAAAGAGTGAATATTTTTCTGCTGCTTTGGTGGGCTGAACCTKCTGAAATAGTTGTTGAGTCAGACATGCACAGTGTTGGCACGCTGGAGCAGACAAAAATGCACGTCTGGAAGAAAGGAGAGGCGACTGTTGCAGTTGACCTTGTTTAAGCTGGCTGCAGCTATGGTGTCTATGTAGCCTAAGATTTACAGCTATGTTCTTGAAGCTAAGCAGTCTGATKATCTGGCTGAAAGGAGTAGCCTTGTTCCTGTCATCCTTTTGCCAGCTTGCTGTGTATGAGGACTTTGCTGCTCGCTGTGCGTGAGATCTTTATGTCTCTTTGGGTTTACTTTCATGTTGCTGTGAAACTAATCATTGCAAAAGTTTGACCAAATTCTCCGTTTCCTTGATAAGGAGACTGCTGTTTAATTCAAATGGATATAGAATTGCCAAATTGGATCTGGTGTTTGTATGGCTGTAGACTCATCTTGAGTTGAGTTGGGTCTACCGATGGAAAGCAAACCCCACTCAAATAACTAGCTCTCTTGTTGTTGGAATAACCTGCTACACCAACTCATCTTGTGGTCATACAATACATACAGAGTCCAAAAGGGTAGGGGAAATTGGGGCTCCTTTTTACTTTAAAATAGACAAATTTGCTTATGGACAGCATGCATGATTGTGTCAGTTTTAGGTGTACATGTGTGTTTGGGCGATGGTACCTTYGGTACCTATGCAAGACATTTTCAGACATACATCTAGCATTTTAACATGAAAAGTCCTGCTTAAGTACATAACAAAACAAAACMAAAGTCTGTCTTTTGTGAACTTACTGTTCCTACAGCCTTGGTACAACACAAATTAGATCCTTACAGGAGATGGGGAGGGTGTAGCCTTTGGGGAATGAGTATACTATTAGAGTAAGTGGGAAAGAGACCAACTGTAATGAATTGCTTCTCTTCTCTTTTTCAATAGAGTTGATTACTTTTTTTTCTTCTCACCAATGAGAAGAGCTTAATAATGGCCATCACACCAGAATACTGTGCTCTACCTGACAGAAAAAACAAGCTCAAATTTTTGCTGGTGAGGGATTCCCTCAGGGGGAATTTTACTTCAGTAGTTTTTATTGATGTTCATTATTTCCAAGAACATCTTCCATAAAATTCTTTGTTCTCTAACTAGAGAAAAAAACAACAACAAAAAAAAAGAGCTGAACTGGAGACTTTCTGCTTCCTATATTGTAAGTTTTTAGTTTTCCCATGTTCCTGGTGCTATTCTGGGGAGGAAAATAATTTTGACCAAGATTGCTTGCAGGAACTTTTAATGATTAGAGGTGCTGGACTGAGTGAAATTGGAATGCCCTAAAGTGTAACACAGAGGWGCGATTCCCATCCCTTACTTCTGCTTCCTTGGCTTTTTAGTTAGGAATGTAAAAGCAAGTGATTGACCTGCGTGAGAAATAAAAAAGGAAGCAATAATAATTGCACACATCTGTGTATAAGCAATAATACTTAGTGCATCATGAGGTTTTCTTACCCCTCGTTAGGTGGATGGCATCTGTGAACTGATCATTTGTGGCTGATAYAAACTGGGGTTCTTGTGTGGGCCTGAAATCTGTAGCACTAGTCAACTATTTAGTTTAAGCCCTGACCTGCCTCTTTGATCTTGAGAAAAATCTGATTTTGTTTCATGTTGTTTATCCTTAGTTTCTAAGTTTGTCCGAACTAGTAAGGAGTAGATATGGTCCTTTCTCACCCTGGGTCATATGGGATTGGAAACAAGAATAGAGAGATTGTCATATTTTGAAGATTTCTGTAGGGGAAAAAGCATGAAGTTGGACTGTTTCAGCATTTGCCCTGGCCCTTGCTAGTCCAGTAGGGCACCTTGTGGTGAGAGTTTTTTCTGCAGTGTGCTGCAAATTGCTGTGGGGTTGACAGTACGTTTCCCAGCATTGCAGAGTGGGCTTGTTCTGAACTACTCAGGAAAGTAGCAGAAACCATTACTTCCTCTGCAGAGTGGGGAAATTGTAATTCAATAGTAAGAGCTGGAAAAGGAATTGCAGTGCTTGCAAATGATTACTAAGTCGTTAGATATGAAGTGAATTTGGTGTTGGTGAAAGTGCTGGGCTCTGAACCCCTCAAAATCACCGAGACAAACAAAATCTTGAGTTTTAGATTCTGGAAGAGCAGYTTCCTCTTTACTCCTAAGACTGTGTGTTTCTGCTTTGTTTTTATCTATGCTCTGAGATCTGTCATCAGAGTTCTACTACTAGAGTAGAACTCTTTCATTTTTTATTTTTATTTTGCAAGTGCAAGTAATTACT